TTTTTTGTACAGTAATATTGATATATAAAATAATGTGTATTGTTTATTTAGCAAATTCTAGTAGTTTAGAAGTTTTGATATTTTTTGTAAAATTTAAAATAATAATTAAATAAATGTTACTACACCCAAAAATACTTTTTTTCAGTTTAGTCACATATTTAGGCCAGAAGGACAAATACTTCAACACAATTATTATTACTAATGCTGTTAGATTTCTGGAAATAAGAACACATGAATTTCTAACCTTCTTTTCATATTTCTATCCTACTTTAATATAATGTGTAATCCTTTGAARGTGTTTTGACAGTGTACGTGAGCTTTAATATGGTGTATCCTGTTAGGCTGCTTCTTACATTAATAGCTATGCTGAATGCAAAACAAGCTTGAGACCAAAGTACAAAAACAGGATATGACAACATTAGCTTATGTGTGATTATTCCTCCAAACTATATCCAACYGACATTGTGTATTCAGGCTAAAGCTGCGTCTAAGCCCTGTGGCTTTATCAGGCTTTTCTTCTCCAGCAGCAGCAGCACGATACAGTGTGTGATTAATGGGCCATCAGGCGAGTTTATGCTGCGTGTGGGTGAGTGCATGCAGGCCCTTTGAAGGCGAGCTTATTTACATGGGGTTTAGTGTTGTACACTTATCGATGGCCGTCGTCATCTCCAGCTTATAGATGAGATGGCTGGATCTCAGCACATCTCAGCTCTCTGTTCTCTTCTATCTGATCAGATGAGGTCTGTTGGTTTGATGCGTCAGTGCTAAGGATGAGACGGTGGGGAACAAAATAATGTGGGGACAAATGAGTGCAGCAGTTTGTAACCTGGAGGCAGTGTTGAAGCAGGAGGAGGTGTACTGTAACAAAGGTCAAGTCAAAGTTATTATTAACATCCTTTGTATCTTTCAGAATGTAATTTAAACTACTTTGTTTGTCTGTTAGCAAAATCTCTCATGAACTACTTGATGGATGTTAATAAAACTTTCACGATATAAACATTAAATCCCCATCTGGAATCGATTAACTTCTGGAGCCAACCAAATTCAAGTTGGTCACCACCGTCAACTAACATTTAAAAACACAAAAATGGTTATAATTCAGTCATTTTTAAAAATATTTGTTTAAAATTTAGTGTGGTAGTAGCTGAGAGTCATTCACAACACATACTTAAAGTGCTACTAATTATGCAACATTTTTGTTTAAAACTTCAGCATCAACTGTTGGAGTTGTTAGCAAAATCTGTCATGAACCACTGGAGAGATGTTAATGAAACTTTCAGAAAATGAACACTGGATGTCCTTTTACAAATGATTAACTTTTGGACTTAGTCCAAATCAAAATGATTGCCATATCTAATCATCATTAACCAACACAAAAATGGCTATAATCCAGTCAGTTGWACAGATAATGAGCTATAATTTGAAGTGGTTGTAGCTGAGAGTTGTTCTCTTGAGCTTTACATTTTGTCGTATTGCATAAGAGTGGTCAAACCTTGAAATATAGCTCCAACATTTCTTGTAATTTGATAAAAACTTGCATTCAAGGATTCATCRTCTTTAAATTAAATATGTCACAAAAACAAATGCTTAATATAAACAGAAAAACACATTGTTTTACTGTACTGGTTGTTCACTCACACCCCTCCTCTCCATGATGTTCTGTATTTATCTGACCTGGTGATGCTCCTTGTTCACTCTGCCCTTTCAGCCTTTCCTCCAAGGTCCTTGTCAGGTTATTGAAATACAGTAGATCTTTATGACTCGGTGCATGACGACAGCTGTGGCCGGGGGGCATTTTCTTCGTACACCAGTCCATCTGTTTGTTCCGCTCTTTGCGAGTTTAATATCTTTTACGGCCCTTGAGGGAATTTCTTTGAATTCGACCCAAACATTGACTCAAAGATGAACTGATTAGATTAAAAGACACGGTGGTTCTGTAGGTGCTCGAAGTAACCATCACATGAATTCAAATGAGGTTTACTTTACTTGCTGTACTCCTCAGTGTTTTTTTATTTATTTATAATTATTGTGACATCAGTGTAAGGCATTTCATATCTATTTTTTATTGTTACTTTTATCACATTCATCTGTGCAATAAAAACAAATAGTCTTGTTTTGAATTAGATTCAGATCCTTAAGTTTGTGCTTAATAATTATGCCCAGCAATAAGAACATAAGCAGCTTTAAACCACAATGAACTGGTTCCAGTAGTCTCTCTATTTGCTTCAAGCTCTGTTTTGTGTTTAGTAAGGACTTTAGGATTTGTTGTACAAAATCACCCTTTTGATATGTTTATTATCAAACTACTAAGTATGACTTGTTTATGCTTGTGTAGATTTTAAATTTTTATTTTTTGGCTGTTTGCTGCCATTTTGGACATTCTTCGACAGCAACACCTTATTAAAGGCAAACATGAAGTCATAATAGCAGTAAAGCAAATTAATATTCATAATCTTTAACAATATTTAGCTGACAAATACTGGTGAGCTTATCTTGTATTTATTAATAGGATTAGGTTTTTGGATTAAATATGGCGCCCCTCTCTCGCTCCCTCCGTAGCGTCGCCAGCCACCACCAGCAAAACCTGATGACCGTGGCCAATCTGGGCGTGGTCTTTGGTCCGACTCTGCTCCGCCCACAGGAAGAGACAGTCGCAGCCATCATGGACATCAAGTTCCAGAACATTGTTGTGGAGATCCTCATAGAGCACCATGAGAAGGTGAGAGAAGTGTTTGAATGTGCAAAAAAATAAATAAATAAAATAAAAATAAAAAACCCGAATCATTCACAACCAAACGTGCACACAACATGCACTGAAGATGTTTTTCCCTTGGAATGAAAGCAGCTTATTGGCAGACTGAGCTGCCTACACATGTTGTTTGTATGAGACCCTGGCACATAGTGTGTTCAGTCAATGAAAGTAGCAAACAATTAGGCATGGACAGAATGACACGTTTTCAACAAAACACATACAGGTTTACACATGTAGGAGGATGACGCACAAACAGAACATGCACTAGTGTCACTCTTCATCTTTTAGACTTCCTCCTCAGTAAGGGGGTAACCTGCAGTGGCGCCTGCAGAAATTTTTTTCAGGGTGGGCCATGGGGGGGCCACAGAAAAACCAGGGGTGGCACACCAAAACTAATATCTATAACAGAAATTATTATTATTATTGTGATGTGTTTGTAAAAATACCAACTTGAAAACTATGGCAATATAAAGCTACGGAAGTTTCCAACATATGTTCAATTTGTAATTTCACAGATAATATCACTGATTTTATGATATTCAGAGACAAAAAGCAAGAGTAAGTATTTGTAATGTTGAGGGGACCCACTGGCAGGGGGTCTGGGGGTTCTCCCCCAGAAAATTTTTGAAGAAGTAAATGCCATTTCCTGAATTCTGGTGTATTTTAACAGGTTGTTAAACAGATTTTTACCTATTAAAGGGAAACACAATGTGAGTATTCAATAGGTAAAATGAAATAAATTTATTTGTTAAGCAAGAGAAACAGCACTGGATGAACTAATGTTTTATGGTAAATGTGGGGGGTTAAATTAATTTAATTTTAAATTTGATGGGGACAGTTCCCTTCAAAAATTATTATCATTGTATTTAAAAATGTCATACGGGGGGCATACGGTGCGCGACGGTGTGGCTTCTGAATAAATGAAAATGATTTAACACAGTTGTTTATACTTTTAGCAGCTCTTTTTATTCCACAGCTGACCTGCTAAAAATGACAGATTTTATTTTCTGGATCTCTGACAGACGGACTTCAATCTCTGAACTCGTAAAGTTCTTCTTTTTAGTTTTCACTGYCATTTTCATGAATGAACACTTCCTTGTATCTTAGACAGGAAACATAGCCTTATATGGTGTTTTTGGGGTGGTAATTATGCTAATCTCCTCTCGCGTGCACGAGCAGCTGGATAGAACAGGTGTAATTTACGCAGCTCATTTACACACTTTTCCTGAAGATAGTAGAGTTTGTTGAATCTGACGTGACATGTTGGTACGAACCCTTTGTACGAACAAAAGTAAGAGAAATTTAGGATAAGAATACGAACATGTTCTTGCATGAGGCCCATTGGTTTTAGACTGGTCTGGTTGTCGTTATTCAGAGAAGCTACATTTTAATTTTAATTTATTTTTTTTTAAATAAAATATAAATAAATGTTTTTAACTCCTAATTGTAAAAAAAAAAATCTGTGTTTGTTTTTATATTTATGGAAGTTCTATTCCTATAAGGTAGGGGAATTGTAAAAGGAAAAACCTGGTTATTCAACAGGATAAAACTTTGGGGGCCACTAGGGTGGTCAGTTTATTCTCAGGGGGGCCATGCCACCCCCCGCTGGCACCCCTGGTAACCAGTTGTACATAGATTAAAAAAATAAAATAAAAGTTTGCCTGTACTTAAACCAGTTTATTCTTTATGCAGATATTCGGGGACGTGCCTAATTCTGCAGGCGGTTCAACCAACATGCAGCCTGAGCAGTCTAGGAGGAAAAGCACTGAAAACAAAGCACCGTCTTGCAGCGAGAGGCCTCTCACACTCTTCCACACACCAACACATTCCCAGAAAGGTGAGCCCTGAGCAGTAAACACATTTTTATTAACCATTCTGACATTTATATAGTTCTTATTTTCTGTTTAAGGAAGAATTAAACAGGAATTTCACATAAACAAGTTTGCTTTTAAGCTGTTCAGATTAACACATTTGTCTAATCCTACCACCAGCACGTTTATAAACCCTTCTTTGTTTTTCCAGGTGAAAAGAGGAACAGTGTTGGCAACGCCACAGCTGCTGACCTGCAGCACCCGGTTTCTTCTGCTAACTGTAACAGCAGCAGCAGCAGCAGCAGCAGCGGCAGCAGCAGCTGCAGCCACAGTCAAACCCCGAGACACAGCTTAACCAGCAATGAAGGAGAGCAGGACGGCCGGCAAATTCGACCCAGCTCACTGTGAGTTTTTGTTTGTTTGTTTTTTTGTTTTGTTTGTTTTCATACTTTAAAAAAAAAAAAAAAAAAAGAACAGCATGTGGTCAAACCTCTATAGGTTTTATGTGTTTAAGCTTTGGATGAGTTTATTTTAGAGTTACAGTTATTGGTTGAGTGACTTCCAGCTACTTAGCCATCCAACAAAATGTTCACAGTACACTTTGGGGACAGAGAAAGTATATTTTCAGAGCTGTGGCTGGAGTTGGTGAAGTGTGAATCTCAAAAGGGCTGCTGAGGTAAAGATAGACATGGTGAAAAGCTTATGATCTTGGCAGGGTGTTCGCTTAAAGACTCATTCCCACAATGTGGAGAATTATTTTTTATTCTTTTGGACTTACAGACAAATGAAARGATGAAAATTCCTCAGTTACATTTCTGTGTTTTGTACAATACAGGTGGAGCAACAGAGCGGTAAAATAGTTCTTAAAAGTCTTTAAATGTTTATGATCATGCATGCCTTAAAGGTGGGGGGTGGCAGGGGATATTATGCAAAATGGACTTTTTGAGCTTTGCATCTTTTTGTAATCAGAATCAGCTTTATTGTCATTCACACACAACATCAAAGATGCAATGCAGAACAAAATTGCAGTTAAGAATACCTGATCTAAGAAAGACACACATACCGTAACAGACATGGGGGAACAGATGCACAGGTCTTGCGCAACACAGTCGCGCTACCTTTTGCAGCTTGGAAAACAAAACACACAATGGAATAGATGAGTTTAAAAAGTTGCTCTGATCCTATATTTACTCATAAACAGAATCATATGCACAAAAAGCCACTCGCATGAGCAGACAGCTGAGGAGGGGAGAGGGCTGGGGATCAAACACATGATACGGGGGCAGGATTCAGTGAAGCTGGTGACGTTTTAGGTTAATACTCTGTGCTGGAACCAGTCCAAGACCAGGACCCGCCAGAGTCCAGAGACCAGATCTTCTCCTCCCAAGCTCAGTCCCAGAGTTCAGAGTTCCCCTTTCTCCATYACCACAKCCTTTAGACTGATCCACATGGATGATACGGGGATAGGGAGTGGGAGAATCAAGTCTTTGTTGACATATCCATCCCAGGAAGTTTTGATAACTGCTGACCATCCAAAGACAACAGCTACTGGGATCCGAAAGATAAACACAATTGTTTTGGGACAAGCAGCCTCGAATTTCTTGCCACTTTACAGTCTTAACTGCATCTCTGAAATGGCGGGAAAAAAATGCCAGTGTTCTGAATTCATCACCTTCTCACCTCTTTCCGTCTGAAACTTCACCCAGGTGTAATCCTACATCTCATGGGCACACTGCTGAGCTGYGATTCTCATCAGAATCATATCCAGTTTGCGACTTATTTCCCCCAACATCAGTTTCTGTRCATTACCAGTACGGGAGATTTCATCCATAGTTCATGACAGCTTCTCACAGGCCCGGATCGCTGTCAGGATCGCTTTCATTTTCTGATAAGCCAGAAATCCGCATCCGCCGATCAGCACAAATCCAAATATGTACACATCTTCCACGTCTTCAATGGAAAGCGGTGCCAAACAGATCAGGTTCCAGCCACAAGAACCACTGACCCGACCAGCTGCAACCATTCCACTGGGACAACTACATTCCCCATGTTCCAATCTCAATGTGGAAAAAAATAGTGTTGATTGCATTCAGAGACCAGTTGACCAAATCCATAATTCCTTTTGTTTTCAGATGATAGGTAGAAGAACGTCTTGAAAAAGCTGTAAAGCAGAAAAAGAGGGACAGGTTCGGGAGAGAGAGCAAAAAGTGTCCGACTCCTCTGAAGGCCAAGCAGGAAAAAAAWGTCATTCCCTCTTCATAAACACACCCAGAGTGTAGCATTAGCTCATTCATGCATGTTTGAGAAATCCTTCAATCTCCTGTGGTAGCCACGTGAAGCCGACTGAACGCTTGCTGCCACAAAGCTCCGCCTATATACCCAAAGCTCTGCCTATTTACCCAAAGCTCCTCTCTGGAGCTCAGTCTGCAGCCGAGCTCCYGCAGAGTACCCCTCCCCCGAAGCATTGTTGTGAAGACGTGCTGAAGTGGAAGTGTCTGAAATGGCGGGAGATTCTTAAAGATGCATGGGCCAATTTCAAGGTTTAGTGTCAAGATTTGTTTTTGATATAAACAGCATTTTCATAACTGAAGGTAACATAGTTACATAGCTGTAGTTGAGAATTGGAAAATTCGAATTATCCCCCCTTTTATCACTGTTGCTCATCGRATACCAAGTGAAGCACAGAATACTTCAACAACCATTTCTGTACATTGTTTCCTCCTCTCGACTCAAATGTAGTCATGGTGCTCAGAAGACAAGCCGAGCCTCTGGGAATGACACAAGCCACTCCTGGCTTATGGACATGAAATGACTTACCACTATCTGAACAGAGTGGTCACAGAACGGATCGACAGATGTGGCAGGCAGAGCAGCTGCCACTGCAAGCGCCACGGCCAGCCACCATTAGTCAGTGGAGCTTTTTTGTGTCTCTGAGTGCAKATCTTCCAGCATGAATCTTTTCAAAGATGTTTTATGCAAATCAAAGGGCTTTTACTCTCTGATTTTTCTGCCTGTACTCAATTTAAAGGGATCCCCGATTAGTTGTAACATTAGACTTTATTTGATAAACATAAATTTTAACTGTAAAATAAAGACTGCAAAAATACTGTAGGATGTTTAGTTTTGTACATTTTTAAAAATATATTTTAACATGGACAGAGCCATTTTATTTACACGCAAAGCATTCTGGGTAAATGATGACGTGGGTAGGTCATTGGTGCGAGGCGGCTAGYGAGCTATATCCACCCTGAAGGTTAATCTTGGACAATATCTGATGATCGACTCTTTTAAATGAAACCAGAGAGCGTTGACAGAGAGGAGAAGGTAGAAATGACTCAGCCTGGAACTGAAAATATGGATGGAGGACCTCAGTTTAGCTTTTTAGCCTTTGTGCTAGCACTGATGCTATTTTACCTTATAGGTATTAGCTTGGTGCTAGTGCGACAAACAAGCTAAACTGAGGTCCTCCATCCATATTTTCAGTTCCAGGCTGAGTCATTTCTGTGTTCTCTCTGTCAACGCTCTCTGGTTTCATTTAAAAGAACTAATTATCAGATATTTTCCAAGACTAACCTTCATGGTGGCTGTATTGCTAGCAGCCTCGCACCGATGACCTACCCACGTCATCATTTACCCACAATGCTTTGCATGTAAATAAAATGGCTTTGTCTATGTTAAATATATTTTTAAACTTTTAGTTTAAAAATTATAAAAACTAAACACCCTACAGTATTTTTACAGTCTTTATTTTATAATTAAAATATATGTTTATTAAATAAAGTCTGTTACAACTAATTGGGGATCCCTTTAAAACGACGAGTAATAAATCGGGCTATTCTTCTGCAGACGTGTTCGTAGGTGTGGACACTTGTATTTCTGGCTTGGAACATAATCTGAGAGAAACAACCAGAAACCAAGAGTATTTTACTGATTTTTATCTCATTAATTAGTCCCCAGTTGATGCATTGCTGTCTCTGCACCATGGCAATAAATGACAAAATAATAGGTTTATGAGTCTTTCTCATATCCACCAATTGGTCAAGATTCTGCTGCCAAATTGTTCTGTCTGGCCCCTCATTTTACTCCTAAATCTTATTAACCTTGACTCTTTTTTTTTTCATTACAAGTTAAAAACTTGGTCTGATTTGGGAACATTGTCATCTAAGAGCTTTCCGCCCCAGACAAAACAGATTTTTATTTAGACAGATTGAGCTCATGTTTGGTTTTACAGGTGCAGGACAGAGATGGCAGTGCTAATCCAACTAGATGATGTGTAAAGTGAAATTTGCTGTTTTAAGTTTTGTGGAAGAAAATGCAAGCAGTTTGTTAGACATATCAGTGAAGATTTTTAAGCTTCTGCATTTCCATAAATTTATTGTGGAAATGCAGAGGCTTAAAAACCTTTTGTTAGTCACGCTTGATGTACAAAGGCTGGCTGCAGTCGTCACTGTTAATGTGAAAGCAGTGGTTTTGCTCTTGTTGCTCTGCTTTAATTAATGGCTGTTAGATAGTCAGGTAAAAGTCAAATACTAAAACAGATTTGTCAGAATAAACGACCTCGCAGCACAATACTACACCTGGTCTCGCTGTTCAGCAGCTGCAGTTGACCAATAAGCAGCAGCAGCAGATTAGATGCACTGAATGACAAACGGAGTGATGAAGACACACAGCTTCCTCAGATGGAGGAATAAATTATATTTGGCAGCACCATGGTGACAGACCGTTTGGAAATGAGATTACTGTAGAGACAATCTCTGAAGCCTCAGCAGCTGTTGTACAGTGTGTGTATGGCAGAACCAGTCAGTTCCTAATGCTGTCAGAGTTAGCCTTATTGATTGTGTGTCATTATATATGCCTGAAAGTTCAGCAGTTGGTTTCTACCAGAACCTTTAACTTTAATGTGCAGCAGCTGAAATTCTCCTGTGGCTTATTTACTGCTTTATAGTTTCAGATTATCAAATTAAGTAAGTTTGTTTGGTGAATCATGATTTATTTTTGTTTTTTTATGTCTCTTTCTTTTTCAGACTGAACCCAAAACCTCGTGGCAGCATACCTGCCAGGTAAGACCAACATGTCCTAAAGTCACACGTACATGCCCAGAAGGCTTCAGTGTAAATTCAGTGTGTTGTTTTGTCTCGTGTGCATCAGCGCCACGTCTCCCAGCCCCACGTCGCCTCGTTCCCCCTCCTGGCCCATGTTTTCAGCCCCTTCCAGTCCGCAGCCGATCTCTTCCGCTTCCAGCGACTCGTCTCCTGGCAGGTTGGTCCGCATTGTTCTTTGCAACATTCTGAAGACAACGGTGTCTCAGAGATAGTGGTTGTGAAGGAAGACAGGAATAAAAATAATGGAAGATGTCTGCAGTGAGCTCTGTTTCTGCAGCTGTTGCAGGGTTCCTGCAGWTCCTTAAAAAGTCTTAAAAGGCATTGAATTCATCAATCCAAAAATAAGGCCTTATTAGCCTTAAAATGTCTTAAATCAATCTTTCAGACGTCTTAAAAATGGTAACACATTGTAAGTAGGATGACTGTAATCTATTTCAATTATTAAAATAATAGTTTTTTTAACATTCACATCCTTTGACATCACTTCCTGTTATTTCAAATGCAAATATCTCAACAATTGTTCATCTGAGCAACATGAAATTAGTTTTATAATATGTTCATGTTGTCTTTCCAAAAATGCATTCACTTTTCTTACAAAAAAATGATGTCACCGGCACTTTAGGGTTTCATCTACAGCAAATTGGGGTTAAAACCCCACTGTGGGTCCTAAAACTCCAAATTTTGGGTCATTAGAGGWTTTCYAGAAATTAAATTAAGTTTAAAACTGACTGCTAAGAATGTTTCTGCTATAGGTAGATATGGATAAAAACAATTGGTTATTAGCAGTATTTTAATACTTCAACTGAAAATACTTTGGTTTATGAGTTTCTGCCACACTTTTTATTTTTTGTCATTTGTGTTTATTATGAAATTAGTCTTAAATTTAATTTCACTTGGCATTAAAAAATCTTAAAATGTCTTAAATTTAACTTGCCTTAAACTGAAGGAAGCCTGTGTTGAAGTCGGTCAAGAAGTTCCTTTTTTGTGAGAATATATCCACAGTTGCCATTTTTCTGCTGCGGACTTTTTTAAGCTACATTGTTTTACCCCAAAGTCTTAATGGATGATGGGAYGACTTCTCATCTTCTGCTTGTTCAAAAGTTGGGTCACCTTTTCCCGCTTTTCTGGGAGGACTCCAAGGTGTTCCCAGGCCAGCTGAGAGGCTACGTTTACACTGCAGGCAAATGTGACACATAATGGATGTTTTCCATGACAGTCTGAATGTGACAAATCCGATATTTTTCAAATGCAACCCAGGCCTTTTCAGTAAGTGGTATCAAATCAGAAACATATCTGATGTTTTTCAAAGCAGCCTGTCTGAAGGCTCGTGTCATATTACATCTGACTTTTAGTTGAATGAGCCAATATAGGGGACAAACAGTGATATTTGAGAAGTGAAATGAAGTTGATATGATTTACAGAAAGTGTGAAATAACTGGTTAAATAAAATTAGGCAGGTGCATAAATTTGGGCACTGTTTTCATTTTGTTGATTTCAAAACCTTTAGAMCTAATTATTGGAACTCAAATTTGGTTTGGTAAGTTCAGTGACCCTTGACYTCCAAACACAGGTGACTCCARTTATGAGAAAGGGTATTTAAGGKAGGCAATTGTAAGTTTTTMTCCTCTTTGCATCTTCTYTGAAGAGTSRCAGCATGGGAGTCTSAAAAYAACTTTCAAATGAGCTGAAAACAAAGATTGTTCACCATCATGGTTTAGGGGAAGTATACAGAAAGTTATCTCAGAGATTTCAGCTTTCAGTCTCCACTGTGACAAACGCTGTGAGAAAATGGAAGAGCACAGGCACAGTTCAAGTGTAGGCTCCAAGTGACAGACCAAGACAAATCTCCAATAAACAGAAGCAAAGGATGTTGAGAACAGTCAGTCAACCCACAGACCAGCACCAAAGACCTACAACATCATCTTGCTGCTGATGGAGTCACTGTACATCGTTCAACTATTCAGCACACTTTACACAAGGAGATGCTGTATGGGAGAGTGATGCAGAGGAAGACTTTTCTCCGCCCACATCACAAACAGAGCTGCTTGAGRTATGCTAAAGCACATTTGGACAAGCCAGCTTCATTTTGGAATAAGGTGCTGTGGACTGATGAAACTAAAATAGAGTTATTTGKGCASAACAAGGGCCGTTATGCAGGGAGGGAAAAGAATACAGCACTCCAAGAAAAACACCTGCTACCTACAGTAACATGTGGGGGGTGGTTCCATCATGCTGTGGGGCTGTGTGGCCAGTACAGGGACTGGGAATCTTGTTAAAGTTGAGGGACACATGGATTCCAACCAATATCAGCAGATTCTGGAGACCAATGTCCAGGAATCAGTAACAAAGCTGAAGCTGCTGAAGTCGGGGCTGCATCTTCCAACAAGACAACGACCCTAAACACTGCTCARAATCTACTAAGKCATTCATGCAGAGGAACAAGTACAAYGTTCTGGAATGGYCATCTCAGTCCCCAGACCTGAATATTATTGAAAATCTGTGGYGTCACTTATAGAGAGCTGTCCATGCTCAGAAAACCATCAAACCTGAATGAACTAGAGATRTTTKGTAAAGAAGAATGGTCTAAAAYACCTTCAGCCACAATCCAGACTCTCATTAGGAGCTATAGGAAGYGTTTAGAGAATATTTCTGTGAAAGGAGGATCTACTAAATATTGAGTTAAGGTTTTTTTTTAATGGTGCCCAAATTTATGCACCTGCCTAATTTTGTTTAACCAATTATTGCACATTTTCTGTAAATCATATAAACTTCATTACACTTCTCAAATATCACTGTGTTTGTCCCCTATATGATATATTTAACTGATATTTTTTATTCAAAGACTCAATGATTTATAAAGGTAAATCAGGAAAATTAACAAGGCTGCCCAAACTTTTTCATATGACTGTATTTAGAACATTTATATCAACCTTGTGCAGTTTAAATCTTGTAACTCCACACGTCTTCAGCTACAGAACAGAAGTCCAGTTGTTTCTTCTTTTTTCTTTTAATATTCCATGTCCTGGATGACTGAGAATCCACATAAATACATGATAGTAACGTCKGTCTTGAGCCGTATCAATACTAAAGTTACTGGATCGATGCTTTAGTTTCAGCACATCACTTCGGTCCAAAGATAAAATGCTGCAGTGGAGCGGCCAGCCAGAGGCAGGTTCAGAYATAAACAGTGAACTAAAGCAGGTCAGATAATTATTTAATCGGTTCTGATTGCACAACAGCTTCAGAATCGGCATGCTAACAGGTAGCATCTATATTTAGCTACTTCTGTAAACAGTTCTGAATGTGATGTCGTGTCATTGTCTGCATGCGTGGAGAGTTCACGCTAGAAGTTGCTTTTAAAACATAATGTGAACATTCAAACAAAAAAGATCTGAGTTTGAAAATGAGCATTAAGGCCTGCAGTGTGAAGGTACCCTCAGCCTCTCCAGTGTGTCCTGGGTCTTCCCTGGAGGATTCTCCCAGTTGCACAACCTCCCTAGGCAGTTGTTCAGAGGGGCATGCTTACTAGTTGTCCGACCCACCTTAACTGGTTCTCTGTCCCAGCTGTGGCCCCTGAACCTTCACATGAAAGGAGAGAATATAAAAGTCAAATTGCCCCCTCAGTAAATCACTGTAGGTTCAGATGTGACCTAAACTATTTATACACAGGCCAGACAGCAGTGTTTTAAATCTTTAGAAAAACAACTACACCTGATTGGCTGCAGTTACTCTGCAGCTGAACCTTGGCAGACGTACKCTGTCTGTCACATTTCAGCGCTTTGCATTTTAAGATTCAAGTGTCTGGTGACGGTCATCAGACTTCTTTTGATCCTTCTAAAGCCCACTTTGTTAAGTACATAAATAAATAAGATGACAGTGTTAGCTGATATGCCTTCTAGACTTGAGTACACGGCAAACTCGTGTTGCTCCATTTAAATAATCATTTTGTTCAGTTAAAGAAAAAAGTAACAATTTAAACCCCGAACAGCTTAAAAGTATCACAGATTTTTCAGCTTAASTCAAAGTTGAGTGGTTAAAAAGTAACTGCTCGTTAGTGGTTTGTGTGAGTTTTGAGTGTCGAAATATTTCCACCGGCGAGCTGCTTTCGTTTCTCAACATGCAGATTTACTGTTTCACCCTTTCCTCTCTGGTTGCTTCCAGCATCACAGGCAGGAAGGCCCGGGCGCTGTACGCCTGCAAGGCTGAGCACAACTCGGAGCTGTCCTTCCTCGCTGGGACCGTCTTTGACAACGGTGAGTCAGTCTCTGCTTCTGCCAGTAGGAAGGGAGGAGGCCCGGATGTGTGTTGGCGTGGAGAAGCATTTTGTTGTCAAAACACAGAGGCAGCCATGGTGCAAGAGTTCTCGGTTGTGGTTTAAAAAAAGTGTTAATTTTTTTTTTTTTTTAAATGGACCTAAACAAAAAAGTACACCAATTATTTGGACAATTAAGGTGCTAAATGATTCATCAATTGTTCGGCACACCCAGACAAGGACAGTGAAGTCTCTGCAACATCTCTTATCTGCTCCTCCTTTAGCTCCTCTTTCACTCCTCCTCTGCATCTTAGTCACAAAGTAAACAATGCAAATGTAAACATGCTTATCAGGTTCAGCAGGCGTGAGCACTTTGTGTCTTGTAGCATCAGAATGCAGCGTAATCATTAATGTGGGAMATAATGATGTTAGTTTCAGTTTAACCTCTGGATGAGAAGCAAATGTTCCATAATTATAAAGCTTTTGGGTCGGCATACTTTTCGGACATTCGTTTTTTTTTTTTTTTAATCCTCCAAAAACATAATAAACAGTCCATCTTTTTTATTTTTCTCAAACCGGAAGTACACTGACTTGTAGTTCCTCACCACGGACCTCTTGGAGAAATGCTTCATGTGCTAAAAGATTTACAAACCATCAGCAGACACCTGGTAAAGAAATGTCAAACTAGTTAGCTAGTTTATTTATTGCCTGGTGGACTAGTTATAAAGTCAAATGTGTTTATTCATCCTATTATCAGACCATTTAAGGTGGAGCTAGAGAAAGGGTTTTTTTTGTAATTAATTAATAAATAATAGTCTGCAGTTTGTTCGTTTAAGAATTTTGTTGCCTCTATGTCCTGCAAAATAAAAAAAAGTAGTTAGTTAGCATTTACTAATTTATTTACAAGCAGCAGCATGTTATTAAAAAGTTATTTACCTAGCTCTACCTTAAATGTTCTGATAACTTCAATAAAAAGGCCGGTATTTGTATTGTTTTGTAAATTATGTTTTGTTTTCATTTTATTTAGATATTTGATGTGTGTAATTTTATTGTTTTTTTATTGTATATTGTTATTTTTTAATGAAATGAATACATTTTTTGAATTGAAAAAAAATTGAATTGAAAAGGAGACAGGACATTTATTTTAATTTTTTTAATTTATTTATTTATTTTTACAT